AGTTGCAAAAGAAAAGGAAGTATTATAATATCGAATTAATTGACGAAAAATTTTGATGTGTAAAAGTAAATTTTTTAATTCTTTATCGTAATCTTTCAATGGAGAAACTACTACTTTGCCACAATAACAACAACTTTTTTTTGAAAATTCTATGGACCAAAACATGGCACCACAATGAATACATTTGTAACTCATTTCCATAAAATCTGAATAATTCACATTAAGTTTACACTTTTTTAAAATTAATTGTATTTTTCGTTTTTTATTTAATCTTTTTTCGGACATCAAATTTGCTTTATCCTTTTTTCTCTTTTTACACAAATGTTCTGCATCCATACTTTCAATTAATTATCTTTTCCTTTTGTTGTTCAAACGTTCAAGTTTCATGTTTTCAACTAAATCATTTTTTTTAAACGTTTATGTCTCATATTTTTAACTAAATCTTTCTCTATTTTTCTTTTCAAACGTTCAAATCCCATATTCTCAACTAAATCTTTCTTTCTTTTTTTTAAACGTTCAGCTCCCATATTATTAACTAAGTCTCCTTCTCTTTTTAATCAAGTCTTTTCTTTGACATATTACTAACACAATTTTCTTGTCTATTATGTTTCAAAAATAAGTCATTTAAAATATTTTTTCCCTTTTTGATTTTATTAATCCTTTATTTTTTTCATAATATATTTTATTATATTTTTTTACAGAAATTTTTTAAAAAGAATTATTTAAACAGTGAATGATATCGTAATTACCATTATCAATAAAACCCGATAATAGAAGAATAAGTTTTTTACTATTATTACTATGACTGAATACTTTTATGTTATTTAAAGCTTGGTGATGAATTTCTACGTAAATATTATATTTATTTACAAAAGTTTGTATTTCAACTTCACCGCCGTAATTACCATTATTAGACATATAAGTTTCATAAGAATTTCGGTCTAATAAAATTTCTTATAGGATTCATCTCCCACAATGAATGATTCATAAAAATCCCAATTCTGAACAATATATGCAACGATATTTAATCTCACTTTTAAATGATTTTCTTGGTTATTATGCAAAAAATATGAAAAAGCTCTAAATAAACAATTACCATCACCAATCATTTTAATTTTATTATGTGTAGCATCCATTTTTAAAATAAGATTTATTTCAAATATAATTTTTTATTAATTCGCCCAATAAAAAATGACTATAATTATAAAAACTAATTATCAATTTTAAATAATGTAATTGACAATAATTGCTAATTACCTTGCATTTTCCAGAATTTACTTGCACAATTTTCTTTATACCATTCCAAACATATTAACACTTGATATATTTTTATCAGGCTCAATCATTTCATTTTTAATCTGGCTAAATAATAGCCAGATATTTAATTATTTTTCAAAATTTTAATTAACTTTAATTATTTTCTAAAAAAAATAATTACATTTTATTTTATGCATATTCAAAACAATCGATTAAATTTTAATCAGGATTCAATTAATTCCATTAATTATAATAACCATAAAATTTTATTATAAATAAAAAATAATAATAATTATTATAATAATAATATAATCATAATAATAATAACAATAATAATATAATAATAATAATAAAATAAAATTTTAAAATATAATATATATATATATATATATATAATTTTAATTTTTTTATTTTTATTGATTAACAATAAAATTATTTTTTGAAAAAATACAAAATAACCATACAATTTTTATTAATTAATATTTTTGTAATATTTGAATATAATTAACTATCCTTGATTATTAATTTAATTTAAGCATATAAACATCTACAGTTCAATCTTTGAACAAAAATTAATTAAAAATTAAATACATTTTTTTGGTAATCTAAAAATATTTCAATAATTAAATAATTTAAGGAAAAAATTATTAATAATGCTTCAGAATATTATTAGATTTTTTAGAAAATAAAATTAATTTACTTTGATATAATTATTTAAATGATTTAATTATTCTAATAATAATTTTTATCAATTATTATTATTAATCATTAATATTTCCGATTCATGAGATAAAAATTCTAAATAAAAGAAATAAAAATAATGTATCTAATAAAAAATAACCATAAAGCTTTTCTTGATAAATATTTTTAACCTAATTTATTGTAGGTTATTTAATGGAAATACTTTAATATAGCTGTGATAAAATTATATTAATGTCAAAAAATAAAAAGATTAAAAATTGAAATAACAATTTTTTACTTAAATTTGGTTAGTTCAAATTATTTTGTATATTGTAGACAATTTAATTTCACTTTGATTTAATTTATGTTGTTAGAGTTTTGGAGGACAGTGAGCAATATAAAGATAATTTTATGAGCACAAGAAGTAATTTATTTAACAAACGTTATAAGCAACTGTTACATCGCGTCAGAACAAAATCTGAAATAAATGTTATTTTTGTAATATGAACACCTGATGGCGCTATTGACTATAACCCGCAATATTTAAGTGATGGATGATAATGAAATGAGAATTCTAACACTACCCCTCAAACTGCACTTATAAATCATTTTTCGCTCAAACCCAAAAGTCGTACACAATTTTCATGTTTCACTCTCGTCAATGCTTTCGTAAGAACATCCGCTGTCATCTCGTTAGTTGATACATGTTCTATCACCACTTCCCCTTTCTCGATTGCATCACGAACGAAGTGATATCTGATGTCAATGTACTTCGTTCGTAAATGAAACACAGGATTCGACGCAAGTTTCTAAGCACTCATGCTGTCACATTTGATCACCATCTTCTTCAAGTTGACACCAAAAGTTCTCCTGAGTCTCTGCATGTATACAGCTTCTTTGGTTGAGTCGGCCAAAGAATACTCCAGTCCCATGTCTTGAGTCCCTTTCAAATAACGTAAGACCCGTTTACCCGCCTTCCAGTGAGTTTCGGTGTTACAGTTCTTGTATTGACTCAAATAACTGACGGCGTGCGAAATGTCCGGCCTAGATCCAACTGACAGGTACATAAGGCCTCCAAGAAGTTCCCTATATGTGAATTTTTCCTTTTACCGATCCTCTGGCACTGCTTCCTCTTTCACTAGCTTGATTCCTGGCTCCAATGGTGTCGATACAGGATTACAGTCCCTCATGCCGAATCTGTCAAGAAGATCGTTGATGTATCCTTTTTACTAATTTTTATACTATTTTCATTTCTGGAGAATTCAAGTCCGAGACAGAATTTTATTTCTCCCAGATCCTTGATTTCGAACTCAGAACTCATTTGTCCTACGAATTTATCGATCTCGGTTGTTTTCTTTGACATTATTAAAATGTCATCGACATAAATCACAATGAATACCGTTCTGGCACCCGTTCCAATTGTGTAAACACTAGGATCGGCACTTAACGGCAAAGCTCCAAGTTCCTTGAGTACTTTGCTAAGACGCTGGTACCAAGCGCGACCGGCTTGTCGCAACCCGTATATCGCCTTCTTTAACAAACAAACCATGTCGTCGATCTGAAGGGATTTCAGCATTTCTTCTGTCTTCTTCTTTATCGAATCGTCTCGATCAGTTTTGATAATGTATTCCAAGATGCTCTGATAATGTTTCGGAGTTTCCATTAAAACTTCCTCCTGGACTTCCCCGTTCAAATAGGCTGTCTCGACGTCTATTTGCTTGATGAACATATCGTTTTGTACGGCGACTGCTATTGCTGCTCGAACGGAACTCAATCTTGCAACCGGCGCAAAGGTCTCTCCGAAGTCTATACCTGGTCGCTGCTCAAATCCGCGCGCAACTACTCGCGCTTTCTTTTTTACAACCTCTCCATCGGAATTGTATTTTTTTCGCAAAACGAATTTGCTCCCGATGACACGTCGATTTTCATCACGTTTTACAAGTCTCCATGTGTCTTTTTTTATTAACGACTTCACCTCTGAAGCCATCGACCTCTTCCACAGAGTTGAGTCTTGTTCCGAGAAGGCATCACGTACAGAAATCTCGGCAGTGCAAGCGACGTCCACGAGAGCTGCTTCATTTACATGGTAAATTTTTCGAGGTCGTCCACGCTGACCCGTTCGAAGTATTCGAGGACGTTCGGAACCTCGTCTAGGCGGATTGTTGACTATTTCTGGTTCATCCCTTTTCCGCAGCTTCATCCAATTCGATGTCGTCCTCATCTTCACTTATTTCGAAATTATCGATAATTTCCCTTGGTCCATGTTCAAGTCTCTGACGATCCATTTCATGTATCGCTCGATTTTCGCGTGTCAAATCTACTGTGATGTGATCCACACCGTCGATGAGTTTTTCAGGTGGCGAATTCCTTGTATAGAATTCCTCGAACGATTTTCCTAAAGTCGTTAAACTTCTTTCGACGAATTTTACATCTCTCGTAATCTCGACTCTAGTGTTTTCCGTTGACCAAATACGATAACCCTTGCACTTTTCAGAGTATCCAATTATTATCCCTTCCTTCTCTCAAACGTCGAACTTCCCCTTCGTTGGTCTCTTGTCCAAGTAAAAAGCTTTACAACCAAACTGTCGGAAATATTTTACCACTGGGATTCGTCCGTGCCAGCTTTCATAAAGAGTCCTTCCATTCAGCTTCTTTGTAAGGCAACGATTACGAACATGATTCGTTGAATGAATTCACTCTGCCCAAAAACTCGAAGGTAATCCGGATTTGATCAGAAGACAGCGTGCTCCTTCTACCAAGGTCCTATTCTTCCGTTCTGCTACCCCGTTTTGTTCAGGGGTATACGGAGCGGTAAGTCGATGTTTAATACTTTTAGATTTTAGATACTCGCTGAATTGCTTACTTAAATACTCTCCCCCCTGTTCGTATAAAATGTCCTATCGTCAAGTCCGGTTTCAGCTTGTTTACAATAATCAGCTGATTCCCCTTTGATATAATAGAGATTTTTTTTACGTTTCGCGATCAGCTTAGTATTTCCACTTTCATCGAGTACAGTGGCTCCACTTTTATCGAACACGACACTAAAACCTTTGTCCGTTATTTTCGTTACGGAAATGAATTTGTTCGCACTTCGGGAACATGTAATGTGTCACTCAAATTCATATTACACTTTTTTCCGTTGAGATTTGTCACGAACTCGACCATTCCTTTATGCAAAATATTTGCTGTCGCTTCACTCGCCAATTTCAGTTTACTCGATTCAACGTTATCAATTTTTGTAAACGCGCTTAAATCGCCACAAATGTGCGATGTGCACCCGCTGTCAATACACCAGAGTTCTTTCACGGCATTATTCGCAGCTTGACATTCGTCCTGAATCACTTCACTCGACAAAGGGGCCGTCCATAAACCACGTGGACACATTTGGGGGGCGGGGGGGTGAATCAAAAGTCCACGTTTGTCCACGAAGGGGAGGGGGGGTGTTAAAGCAAATGTCAACGTGGACATATAATCAAAGATATTTCCAAAAAAGATATCTTAAGCTTAATCAGAATGATCATAAGTTTCAGTTAATCAATTTCCCTGACAATTTACTGATATTAAAATTAATTTTCCTGACAAAATTCTTTTTACAGGAAAATATGAATGTTTACGGAAAATGAGTAAAATTTATAATTTTAATTATTTTTTAAAATGACAATTATAACCCTTCCTGAATTCAATTATTTTTTACAATTTCCACCCAGTAAAAAAAAAGTATTGGAAGAGAGCGAATAGTATTGTCGGTGAGTTTCTGCCAATACGGTTTTCACGCGAAAACATATTGGCAGAAACTCACCGCCAATACTATTCGCTCTCTTCCAATACTTTTTTTTACTGGGCAACTAAACCTTCGTCTTTAAATCAATTAATTTAAATAATTTTCCGAAAGTTCTTCTAAAATTCTGTTATATTTTAAAATTATTTTTGAATTTGATTGATAAATTTTAATTAAAAATTTTTAACATGATTGTTTCCTCTAAAATGTTAAAAATAATTTTAAAATGTTATTTTTTTGTATATATTTGAATTTTTGAAAATATGTAATTGAGAATATTGAATTTTAAAAAATTAGAAGCTAATTTTCATTAATTTTCATTTTTAAATTTACCTTTAAAGATTTTTTATTCTACAAAAATTGTAACGAAAGACTTAAAATAAATTAATTATTTTCAATTAAATTTTACAAAATTTCAACTATTCAAAAAGATTTGTTTATACAGGGTGGCCATTTTTTTGTAAAAAAAAATTAACGGTCATTTCCCGGTCATAAATAATAACTCTAAAAATAAATTATTCCATGAAAGATTAAAAGAATTTCCTGATTTTTAGACAAAACTTTGACTTTTTCCTAAAACCTAAAAATATTTTAGTTTACTCTAAAAATAATTTTGAACTTAAATAGATTTTTTGAAATAAATATTTAATTATTATCCATTATTTTTCCATATAGTAGGTATTCAAATTTAAAAAAAATTCAAATTTTAAATCCTTTAAATTTGAATAATTTTTAAGAATTGCTACTGTAACTTATTAACAATTATTTTCAAAATTTCAATTCAATTTTATTCTAGAAATAACTAAAATATTTCTAAAATCCACTTGTTTACAAGACAATTTCATGAAATTTTGAATAATTTAAAAATTTTTCAATTAAATATGAGGTACATATTTAAAAACATAACTAATTTGAAAAAAATGTGAATAAAAATATTTTTAAAAACTGACTTATTCAGAATTTTTAATTAAAATCTTTTAAAATTCAACTTTTCTAAAACTTAAATTTGAAATTTTTTAAAATTCAATCTATAATAATTATTAATTTAACATTCTAAAATACAGAAAAGTTTGCTTATCAATAATTGCAAAAAAACTAATTGATATTAATGCAAAATACGATTTTTTAAAAATTTATTTTCTAAAGAAAGAAATTTTATTTATTTTTATATACATTATTTATTATTCTAAAATTAATTTTTATAAATTTCGTATCACTTTTGTTCTAATTAGTTCAAATTTTTAATAATTCTTATTTGTTTTGTTATAATATTATTGCAAACAAATTTTTAAATTGATTTATTTTTCACTATTCTATAGGATGTGAAATTTTTTCTCATTGAAATTTTTTTGACAAGTTTAATTAAAATTATATTTTGTTTAATTATTGTTAGAAATAGAAAGAATTTAAAATTAAATTTAATATTTTCTTTTTCTAAATCTGTTACGTTGGACAGCAAAATTCATAATTTTCTTATAAATTCTAGAAATTGAATATTTTTATAGTACTTTTTATAAAATTTTCTGACAAAATATAAATAGATTTTATAGAAGATCGTTCAATCTTTTTTAATGAAATATAGTTAATACCTAAGTCTTGAAATTAATATTTTTATTTTTTCTCACAAAATAATGTGTGTTTTTAAAAAAAAATCCAAAATCCCGGTCAAGTTCAAAATTCATTGTCAAATCCCGGTTTTCCCGGTTTCCCGGTCCAGCTATAATTTATAGTTATTTTTCACATTATAAAAATCAAAATAACTTGTACTTTTTTTTTACTAAAAATTGTGGTATTTTGTCGCAATTATTTTAAATGAGTCGAAAAAAGTCACAATTTTCCTAATTTCCCCGACAAAATTTTTTCCAGACATTTCCCTTACTTTACTGACATTCTTGCTTTGAAATATGTTCAAAAATAATCTTTTTTATTTTTTAACATACAGGAGTAAAAAAAACTTATTTTTTTAATTTGCAATATCCACGTGGACAATTGTATAGGGGGGAGGGGGTTTGACAAATGTCCACGACTGTCCACAACGGGGGGCGGGGGGGTCAAAAATTGGTGAAAAATTGTCCACGTGGTTTATGGACGGCCCCAAAAGAGATACGTAAGATGACTTATCACCTGATTTCTTGTTTTTGCACTCCAAGGCTTTGTGTCCCCTTTCGTGACACTTGTAACACTTTATCCCGCGCGATTTTTCCGGAGTTCGATCTTCCTTGTTCGATTCGTTTTTGTTATGAGACTCGTTACACCATTTCTTTTTCACGAACTTCTTCTTCGCGTACATTGCACCTTGACTCGAGTTTGACACTGCATTTCGCGCCTCGTATTCCTCAACAATCTTCGTACGTAAATTTTCCGGAGTGGTCAGTTCATTACGGGTATCGATTGCCACTCTAAAATTCTTAAAGGTCGATGGCAAGCTGTAAAGCATCATGTTAAATATTTATTTTTAATAATTAAAAAGAGAGAAAATAGTGTGATCAAAATATTTACACTGCTATGATTCTTTCCCCGTACGATTTTACTCGAGTTCTCACGACCAACATATGTTTCGGTTACCGCACGATGTTGACCGAACTTTCACGACTCACGATCGTATGCGATATTACACGAACGCGTCAGAACAAAATCTGGAATGAATGTTATTTTTGTAATATGAACACCTGAAGGTGCTATTGTCTATAACCCGCAATATTTAAGTGCTGGATGATAATGAAATGAGAATTCTAACATATGTTACTTCAAAAAACAATTTTGTTGAATTTCTTGAAAAGTTAATTTTCTTAAAAATTTCTTAAAACAATATTAAAAGATAAATACACAATTACTTACTTAAATCCTGTAATTTGATTATGATTTGTTTATCCAGACTTTTTCGCATATAATTTAATAAATATATTCCTTTTTTTTAAATCGAAAATCATTTTATCTTCTGTGTTTTTTCATTCATTTAAGTATTGATATTTTTTAATTTTATATTTCCATTCTTTTTCGCATATAATTTCAGTTAAGGGGATCCCACATACCGACAATGCAGATCAAAAATGGTTAAAAATCTGCAACGACCGTTTCTTGGAAAATATAAGATATTATTACCTATAAATTTGGAAAACTCATTTTTTATCATGAATACACAGGATGAGTATTTTATTTGTTGTAATTATTAAAAAAAATATATTGTTAGAAAATTAAATATGGTCAGTTTCCAAGAGCCCAAACTGCAACGACCTTTTCTTGAAAACAACAAAACAAAATAATTTTTCCATTTAGCAAACTTAATTTTAATAAAAAATACACATAATAAGATTCATTACATATGAAAACAACAATAAAAAACTTTAATTTATGTAAACTGTTTTGTATAGCAATTTACAACAAGAAGAACACATGTGACAGCTTTTAGTAGTTCATAGAACCAAGAGATGGCGCCAAAGGTTCCAAAACTGACAAATTTTGATTATTTTTAGCTTTAAATTAACAACAATAAAATATAATGTTTTCTTTTTGAGTAAAAATTCATTAGTAGGGGAGAGTCTCCAGTTGTGAGACACCTCCAGTTGTGAGACAGTCAATTTTTTTTAACATGCAATATTAAAAAGCCGATTGGTTTATATAAAAACATTTCTTTTTATATGAGCCAACTTTTTCGTGTACGCCGAAGCGGATATATAAACTGTTTTTGTTAAATACCAACACTGTGTGTGATAATCGACTAAAAAGCGTTTTTTCAATAAATACAAAGTACTTTTTTTCCAAGTTAATTAATTGGAAAAGGTAAATGTAATGCATTTTCTTTTAGTGTTTTCCTTATATTTTGTGATGCAATATTGCATTGTTCCAATCTACGGTTGAGAATAATTTAATTTTCCTTTTTCAAAATAGCGCCAATTTCTGGGTGTGAGACACAGCATATCACCAGTTGTGAGACGGTGTCAACACCCTTCTGGGCAGCATAAAAAATACGACTTTGCAGGCATACTATTTAAATGTTGTTTTATTTTGTTTTCTAGTATTTTTGGACATGTCAAGTGGAAAAAAGTCAATTGATTCAGAAGAAATCAATTTTAATGCTCTTGTTGAAGCTATTAAATTGTGTTTATTTGATAGTCATATTTTGGCGAATAAATATTATTATTTAGTATATAATAATATATATTATTAATATATTTAATTATTTATACTAAACATAACTTTTTATGTCAAACTTATTAAATTTTAGCAATTTTTAATGAGTGTCTCACAACTGGAGACATTTTTTTTTTTTTGAAAAAAGCGATGTGCTCGGAAAATGTATCGTAAAATTTTTTGAGTTCATCGAAACACTATACTTTCTTTTAATAAAAGTTGCGTATTTCTGTTACCTTTCGAACGGTGTATTTTATTATCAATTTCGTTTACCCGTTTACAATTTACGGGTCAAAAATGAAACCCGTCTCACAACTGGAGACTCTCCCCTAATGAAAGACACACAATGAGAGAGATTTATTTTGTTCAAATTGTTAAAGAAAAGTTAATGCTAGTAAATTAAAAATCAAGTGCCACCGAACAGCTGTCACATATACACTTTACAAAAAATAAAGTTTTTATTTACTCCTGAATGGCAAATGAGTCTCATCCTCCGTATTTTCCTACAAAATTAAATTTCCTAAATGGAAAAATTATTTTGTTTCGTTGTTTTCGAGAAATGGTCGTTGCAGTTTGAGCTAGTAGTCAAAGATGTGTTACAGGGAAACTGCCCATATTTAACTTTCTAACAATAATTTTTTTCAAATAATTACAACAAGTAAAATACTCATCCTGTGTATTCATGATAAAAAATGAGTTTTCCAAATTTATAGGTAATAATATTTTATATTTTCCAAGAAACGGTCGTTGCAGATTTTTAATCATTTTAGATCTGCAATGTCGATAAGTGGGATCCCCTTAAAGCTCTCTGCATTTTACAGGGTTGAGACTGGCATAAAAATAATACCTGCATTACTGTTACTAAAAAAATTTTAAATACTTACTTTTGAAAATAGAAGGGTAAAGCTTAAAGAAATTTTGACTAAACAATTTTGAATAAATAATAAAATAATAATTATAAATAAAATTATTTTTAATAAATAAATTAAGTTTGAAAAAGAAAGCTTAATGCTTAAAAATTAAATATTTTTCTGATTCAATCGAAATAAAGATTTATATGTATATGTAATTTTGAAAAGCCTGCGTTAGTATTATTGTTAACATGGGTTTAAAGTTAAAAGAGTTCTTTTAAATTTAATTGACGAGAAAGTACGTCATTTTTTTCATTTTTTACTCGTTTCTTTTGTTGACGAACTCGTAATGTAATTTTTTTACTTTTTTTAGGAAAATTATCAAATCTCTTGTATAGTTTGAGCATTATCAACGTAGATGTCTTTGCCACTGTAAAATGTTTGGATTTCTTTACAATATTTTTGCGTCCAGTCAAAAAGAGCTTTTGCAGTCAAAATTCGATTATTTGGAGAACATTGAAGACTGGAATTTTTAAATTTGATAATTTTCCTAAAAAAAGTAAAAAAAATTACTCCACGAGTTTAAAAAAAAATCGAGTAAAAATTAAAAAAATGATTTACTATCTCGTGAATTAAATTTACAATTATAATTTTATTATTTATTCAAAATTGTTCAGTCAAAATTTTTTTAAGCTCTACCCTTCTATTTTCAAAATTAATTATTAAAATTTTTTTTAGTAAGAGTAATGCAGGCATTCTTTTTATGACAGTCTTAACCCTGCAGAATGCAGAGAGCTTTTACTGAAGCAGATGAAGACGAAACAGTAATATTTGTGTCCTTCAACGGCGTAGCGACAGCGTAACGTACAGTGACGCGGGCGCGCTGCTTAGTTTGTTCTTAAATATCTTCTAAACTTATGGTCACCCCACTATGAGACATATGTTTTTTTGGAAAAAATGTCAGCTTTACAATAAAAATAAATTTTTTTTTTTAAATACCCAATTGGGTCAAAATTAAAAAATAAACTTTATTTTTCAAAAAAAGAGTTTTAAAAGTTTTTTAAAAAATTATTTTGTAAAATTTTTAGGAAGTACATGAAAAATGCTTTAAATGCATTATAGAAACATTAAAATCGGTAAAGTATTATAAAAGTTATATGGTTTTGAAAATCACAGTGTTACTGAAAATGTCAAAACTTCAACCCCCACTACTTCTACATTTTTTTTTAAAAGAACTAATATTTTGCAAATTCATTACTTTCAAATAGGATAACAATTTCCCAAAATATGAAGCCAATCCCAAGACTTCTTTTTTTGGGCTGGGACGTTTGAGAAATAATGCCTCATAAGCAAAAATTGTAGAATTTTAGAAATAAGTTTTTGTGAACATTCGTGAAAAGTCAGGGAAATATAATATGAAATAATTTTTTTGTGAATCTTTTAAAACTGTTTTTTTTAAATATCAATAAATATTAATATTAAATAAATATGATATAATAATATAATATATAAATATTACTAAATTTTAAATATTCATTATCAAGTGCGAAGCAGAGTGGTAAATTAACTTTCAACAAAATTAATATTTAACAAAACGTTTAATTACACCGCCACACAAAAAAAAATTTCGATTGCCAGGACTGCCACGTGGTAGGTTTTCTTTTAAAAGGTGTATCTAAAGAGAGAAACATTGTTCGACCTAAAAGTTAATTCGTGTTCTCTTTTTACAGGCTTGGTGGGGAAGTGAAGTTTGAGAAACTTATATTTTTATGGGAATTTACTTAATTTCTTTAAATAAAGCTGAATTTTTGCTTCTTCTGAATGTTTTTTTCAATTCAGTGACTTTAATAACATAAGAATTAAATATATAAAAAAATAAAAATGGCGGATCTAAAATGGTGGATGTAAAAAAAAAGTTTAGATTTCCTTGAAACTTTTTACTCGGGGGTTTTTGGGGTCGCTGATTACGAATCTGACATCAGATTTTAAAAATTCAAAATGGAGGATCTAATATGGCGGACAAAAATTTTAAAAATTCCTCGCATTTACTTGAAACTTGTTACTCGTGGGGTTATACTTGCTACTCCGTGGGTGGGGATTTTCGAGGTCGCCAATAACGAATCTGATGTTGGATTTTAACCCTTGGGCAGGCAAGCTGAAAAAAGTACGTAAGCGGGCAAGCGGGGTCCATTGGACCCTGCTTTAAAAACGCTTACAGAGTTATACCTATTTGGCATTTTTTGTCTGTCGATTTTTTCTTTATTGGCTAAAAATATACTGTAACATACCTAGATTAATAATCTATTAAGTCTTTGCATGAAAACAACTTGGAAATGTCTTTAAAATTATGTTTTCTGAAGAAATTCTAAATTTTAAAAATAGAAAATTTTAATTTCAAATGCATTTTTTTAAAACAATTTTTTTTATTGGCTTAAAATATACTATGATATTCCTAGATTGATAATCAAAAACGTGCTTGCATGAAAACAATTTCAATTTTTTCTTAAATTTAATTTTTCTGGATCAATTCTGGAGTGTCAAAATAGAACATTTAAACTTCAAACGCGTATTAACCATGTTTTGCAAATCGGCGAGCAGTAGAACTCGAAAAATTTTTGTCCGATTGGCCTGAAAATTTA